TAACTGGAAAATCAAAACAGTCGATAAAACACAATGCTTAATCGTTCAAGTATATTTTAGCATTTTTATGTATTCCCCCATTCCCCATGGGGTTCCCCCATTCTCTATTGTACGCTTAAAAATATTTTAGTAGAGCTGTAGGTTCTATAAGACTATAAGTCTTAAAGTTAAGCGAAAGTGAAATTGATTTCATTTTTAGAAAGCCACTCAAATCCACAGATCTCCTACATACTTACTATATATGGAGATGTATAGTAAAAGTATATTTTCGAACACTCTATGCAGTGAGTGTTTCGATTCACAGTGAATCATTGCCACGATTCGAGCGCATTCCTCTTAGCCAAATAACTAGGTATCAGGTGCTTGTACTGCATTGAACCGATATCTGTGGCTGAGAGTGAATAGACATTGCATTGGAAAATGATCGGCAATTACGAATCATGATTACTGACACATTAATGCACAATAGTCAGTGCGCCAACGTCTCAATCAGCCCAAGACTGAAGACTGTGGCTCGCTGGCCTGCATTCAATGTGGTGTTGATTCAAATGACGGGAGCGCAAGTTCAATGTACAGGCAATCGATCGAATGCTGGTTATAATTGTATATAATTGAAGCACTCTAACGATCACAGAGCGAGTGCAGCCAGAAACTCAATTAAAGCCGCTAGTTGCGCATGTCTTTCAATTAGCGGCCGAGCAGCGAACAAGAATTCCAAACGGATACACCCGTGCATTTTAATTTAGGCCCCATTCACTATTCCCCCAACTGATTGCTGACCATTAGAATACTCATACAGTGTGCAGCGCTCAACGCTGACATAATTGTGTCCAGCACGAACCATCGCTGGTTATGCAACAATAACGGCCTCTTCAGAAGTCCAATGGAAATCGGTTATGCAAGCGGACGATCCATTAAGATAACGAGTCGGGCTCGTGGCAAAATAGAACGTGCGATTGAATATGATTGACAGCCTACGCCAAGCAATTGGTATTGAAAAACTGAGGACTGATTATGATTTAGTTGAATTGAAAACAAACAAGAAAAGAATGCTAAAGTCGAGCAAGCTCAAGCTCAAGCTCTTAAATACCCTGTAAATAATTAAAAACAAGTATATTAATTAATTTATTTAATTAAATTAAAGACATGTTCATGTACAGTTTCAACAGCATACATTTACATCAGAATCGTGTCTCTGCGTGTACGTATGCAGCACAAAGTTGAACCCAAGCAGCAACAACAACAACAGCTGCGGGCAGCGCTACAAACACAGCATGGGCAGCGATTTTATTTATGGCTATAACTTTTTTCAGAATTGACCTATCATGATGAAACTTGGCATACAGACACATAATCACTAACGGGATGTAGGTACGTAATTTTAGTTTGAAATTCCATGAACTTCGGGTTATGGAAAAAACACGTATTGCGGGGGAGTGGGGGGGGGGGGTGCATCAGAATAAAAAAATAAATTTGACCTGCCTAGGGCTTATGGGAATCTGGATACCGAGTTTGGTTATTCTAGCTCTTGTACCTTCTGAGATCCTTGCGCTCATACAGACGGACGGACTGACGGACATGGCTATATCGACTCGGCTTGTCACCCTGCCCTGGGGTCTGCCACGCCTTCTTCTGTTGTTACATACATTCGCACAAAACTAGTATAGCCTTTCACCCATTGGGTACAGGCTATAAAAAGATCTAGTGCAGTGAATGGCATTTTTTTGTCATTTAAAGTGACTTGACAGCATCCTCTTCAGGAATAGAACTGTCAGAACTGGACCAAATTAAAATGGGACCAATCGGAAAGCATCCGAATCGAAAATACGGTCGAATTGAGAACGTTCTCCTTTGCAGAACCTAACCAAATTCTCATTCAACTACCCTTGCAGTACATACTTTCCAATCCAAGAGAGTCATCGTAATCGGTTGGCAAGCTATTGAGTTATTAGTCCATTTGTCGCCCACATACTTAACTTAAGACTTGTATGCTTTTTTCATCACATCTAAATAATAATTTGCCGTCTCACCTGTTCTTGTGAAATAGCTGAGACAACTCAATTCTCCCGCCACCACCCACTAGTGCCTTTTGGCCAACCTGCCCATCACAGCCCGAAGAGGCCGTCAAGCCCGTCAAGTCGGAGCAATTAAAAGAAAGAAAAACAGACGCCAGTTGTAAATGGAAGCTCGCATTTTCACTTTAATTAATACTTGTAATGTGCAACGCAATGAAATTTTTAATTTTATTTTATTCGCTTAATTATTTCACGTTTTCATATACATACATATGTACATACCACATATCTATATACTATACTTGTATACATATATATTTTGTTTTTGTCTGTTGTTATTATAACTGGTGAGCAATCCCTGAGCTATCCCCTCCGCCACTCTTCACACAGCTCAGAAAATCAAAAGCACGTCCACAGCATTTGAAAGACTTCACTTTTTACTTGGGCCGTGGCTATACTTGTTAGCGGTACACACACACACACACAGCATTTGTTGTGCATGTGGGCATCGGTGCGTGTCCATGAAATTCGTGCATTTGCCAATAAATTATGTCTACGTGCTTCTGAAGTTTTCACTGCACGCGCTAGAAGAAAATGCTGACCGGCCCCCCACTCGTCCTCCCTGTCTGTCTCTCAAGTAACACCAACATTGTCAGTTCCTGAACCAACCGCCGCACAGTGGTCTCACATGAAATTGAAATCTGCATTCGGGGCTATGGGGAAACAATATTATACTTATTCTTATACCCTGTATCGGTAGAATAAAAAGGGCATGAACAAGGCTTGTGAAAAGTATGGAACAGGCAGATGTAGATATCTCCGACCCACCCCATAAGGCATATATGTTCAATACTAGCAATACTAATCAATATAGCCATGCCTGTCTCTTCGTCCTGAACGCTTGGATTTTGAAAACGCTAACCCCCGAGTTTATTTATTTCTTTTTATTTGTTTCCTCGACTGCAGCATTCTTTCTTGTTATATTGTGAAACTAATTCTGAAATTGTTTTTTTTTCTATTTGAATTTTGAATAAATCTTTAATAATATAAGCGATTGCACAAGTCTATATTTAGAAAAAAAAAAGCACATGAGCTTAAAACAAGTTTTGAAAATTGCTTTGAAAAATGCATCCAGTTTCTAAAATCGAAAAGTTTAGCTAACAGTTGGAATATTATTAAAATGTTTATTATTTTTGTATATACAAAGTGTACTATATTGTTTCATTAGTACTTATAGTATTAGGATTATCTGCGATTAAAATAAATTTAATTTGATATATAGTATGGAATAAAGTATGTTTTTAAAAAGCGATCACATACCTACTAAAGTTAAACTTTGATTGAAGCCAAAGAATATTGCAATTATTTCAATGAAACCACAAACTATGACTATTGTGGGCGCGATTGCAAAATGATTCTAGACCACTGTGCGGCGGCGAATGGGCCCTCTTGTTGCAACACTTACTGCAACTGTTAATCTTGATGGGCAAAACATGCCAGCCGGCGATCGGACCCACTAACGATCTTTACTGTTGTTGTTCCACCCACAACGGTCAACCATGTGGGGCCATACAAGTATATGTATATATACTTGTATATACATATAGTATAGGTATACTTACTATATAGTATGTGTGTTACCCAAGTAGGAAACTGCATAGCCAACACTTAAACGCTCCACAGACCTTTCTCTTGGCATTGTTCCTGTGCCTCTTCAAGCATTTAAATGAATTTCTCTGTGGGCGCAACGCATGGCAGCCGAAGCCGATCCATCGACGCCCCCAGCACTCCCTTGAATGCCGCCGGCAACGCTGTCTAGTGATGGCGTTGACATGCGGAAATGTGTTGTCCATATTTGTGGTGTGGCTTTGAGTGGTTTTTGGAGCGGTATGGTGTGGTGGCGCGTCGCAGCGCTTCAAATGCCCCAACAACGAAAATGCATCCGCCTAAAAGTTGCGTAATGGCGTTGCATTATTGGGGAGTGGGAATGGTAGTGGGAGTGGGTGTTCATGTGAAAGACCAGAACGGACTGGAGATAGAAAAGCGGCCAAGGTTTGGCGACAATAAAGAAATAGGAAAACAGAGTAGGAAGCGCGTACTTCCGCAGCGAGCTTTCAGCTAAAACCATTAATGCATATTATTTCCATTTAGTTACAAAAAGGAAAAGAAAAACCACTAATATGACATTAATTTGGATTTACTACTTGAAGAGTTTGGAGAAGATGATGTTCATTACAATACTCTTTACACCATTTGAAATATAATGCTGATTAACAAATATAGCAAATTTTCGAGGTAAAAATCAGGCAGAGGGACGTATTTTATCGGTAGGTGAAAACTCCCACAGATGTACAACAAACATGGAGATTATAAAACTATAAGACCCAAGGATTCTTTGCAAATTCTCCATATATTACGAAAGTACACCCTCAAATAGAAACGGGAAAGTGCCAAAAGAAATACAATAAAAATGTTAGTTTTTGGTTTTTTTTTAAATTATTATGATTATTTTTATTTGTTAATCTTTAATCTGATAATAATAATTATTGTTAAAGCAGGGAATCGGCCTACATATACTAAGGACCATAACACTATTGTTTTTCTCTATAAGAAGAAACCAAACTTCACAAAGAATATAACAAGAATATTGTAAAGAAGATTTGAAGATTGAAGATTTACATAATGCTTTATCTATAGGATCCAGAGGTTATCTTTTCTTTAGACGGCATACCTGCCTGAGTTTGGTGACATGGTTTCTGGACTACAGTGTGTAGCAAATATACGAAATAGAGGTCCGAATAAACACGTTCTTCAAACTATGGAGATTTTTAATAAGTAGTTAGTTAATATAACATACATAGGTTGATTTACAGTGCGCTATACTTACAATAGGTTGCTTAAGTTGGAAGAACTTTGACGATTTCGAACATCCTTGTCACTGATTGATTCTAATCATGAATATCAAATTCTTTTCTCTGCTTGCAGCGATGTTATAATGGAGCCAATGACCATGTTGGTGTTGGCCTTTCAGCTGCTGGCCCTTTTCTCAATTGCCGGCGCGCTGCTCATCTATCTAATATGCAAGGTGCGGGAGGACAGCAAGACGTGTCCGCCCGAGGCTCAGCCAAGTCGTGTGGTGCTGGTGACCAGCGCTGATACCGCCCTGGGGCTGCAGCTGTGCACCCATCTGGCCAACAAGGGTTGTCGTGTGTTTGCGGGCATGAAGGAGGCGCATGACTCCCTGCCCGCCAAGCTCCTCTGTGGCTGGATGAAGATTCGTGAGTACAGCGAGGAGCCGATCAGTGGCACCATCATTCCCATGAAACTGGATGTGACACGCGAGGATGTGCTGCGAGAGGCCACAGTAGCCATGGGCGCCCATCTGAATGCTAACGAGCGCGGCATTGCCGCCGTCATCAATACCAGCGGCAGTGTGTTTCGCGGTCGCGTCGAGTCCCAGGATGTGCAGCAATGGGAGCACATGCTGAAGACAAACATTCTGGGCACTCTTCGCGTGGCCAAGGCCTTCGTTGCCTTCCTACGTCCAACGCGCGGCCGTTTGCTCTATCTGGGCGGCAGCAGCGCCGGCGCCACCATGGGTGGGGACGGTCTCGTGGCGTTCAATGCATCCCGTGTCGCTGTTGACAAGTGTGCCGAGGAGCTGCGCAAGGAACTGCAGCCGTATGGGGTTAGTGTTGTGGCTCTGGACACCTGTGGCATGACCGCCGAGTCCCTCTACAAGCCACCGGTGGCACAAGGTGAGCAAACAAATTAGTTCCAGTTTAGATTTTATTTGAATCTTCAAGGACAGTCAAGCTATGGTCCGACATAAGCAAATCATTTGGTCACAAATTTGTATTATTTAACAAGCGGGCTCTCCAAGCTTTTCAAAACCTAAGACCTGAAAATGTTTTTTAATATTGTTAGACAATAATAGACTGTAATTTGGTAGGTTTTTCAGCATTTAAGCTCTTAATTACGAGTTGCAGTCTCATTTTCGCCGCCAAGTATTTTCTTTAAATCGAGAGGGGAACATTCCATTAACTCTATAATTGTACACTATCTGCCTAACGCTCTCCATGCCTCGTTTCGTTGCAGTTATGTCGGACTGCGCCGGCGCCCCCACCCAATACACCGCCGATGTTTTGAGCGCTAATGCGTTGCAGGTGATTGAGCGGGCTCTGTGGGACTTTGCGCCGCAGGAGCGGTACACACTGCTGTCCCACAACAAGTACCAATTCACGTTGCCATGTCGCTCATCTTTGCGCGTTCCGAAGCAGACTCCCTCCAGCGAAGCTGTCTCACCGGCGGCCAAGAACGTGCAGACTGTCTGAACGTCAGGAGTGACGTTGTCGTCGTCGTTGGAGGATCCTTCGTTGGCTGTTTGGCCGCCCGCCCAGTCGACTAAAATGCGCCAGTCAGCTGAAAGTTTACGCCGTGCCTTTTTATTGTAGAGTTGTGAAGCTAGTTTGGCTCTTATATTGGACTTTAAAAGAAGCTGTTTCATTAATTTCTATTGTTTTCTTAACATTTTGCTTAATTGTTGCCAAAACGCAAGTTTCGACTTTAGTTCATACTATATTTGCGGAATTTAAGATCAGTATAAGATCAGTATAAGAGCAAGACTTGCATAACTCTCTTTTATATACTCTATGTGTACATATTCTCTCTCTGTGCTCTCTCTCTCTCTCTCCCCTCCCTCTGTATTGTCCGTTACATATATATACGAGTATATACCTACTTTTTTGTATGTATTATTTTTTTACAATTTCTGCAAAATTCTGCATTAATTTGTTTAAGAAATTTTTATATTTTTATACACAATACGGTGTATTTTTACATATACACATATATATATATATATATATAAAGAATAAAATTTCAGAAAGAAAACGTGTAAAAAATTGTTCTACTCTATCAACACATTGTCTACTTCAAATTGCAATATTTGTCAAAAGTGCGTGTGATTGGTGGTGTGATTGTTGTTCATATTTGCTTGATAGTGCATTATCAATCATTATCATTCGTACTGCGATATAAAGTCGAAGCGCAGCACAGAGGCCGGATAAATGTCGCCATCCATGGCATAGCTCTTCTCAGCTGAGCGTCCGGGAAAATGTATGAGCACATCGGCCCCCACAATACTCTGTAAACGGCTGCTTATCTGTAAATGAGAGGCAAACACTGTGTGCATGTTTCGAAATAGACAGAGGACAGATCACCAAATTACCTGATCTCCATTAATGGTGGCATAGAGCTTGCCATTCTTGCTACTCACCGAGGCACGTATGTACTCGGGACGTGGATCCAATTGGATGGGCTGACTCCTCCTTAACTGCATGGACAAAGTATAATATAAGCATAAGTTGTAAATCGGCTCTTAAAATGTATTTTACATTTAAAGAGAGAGAGATTAGTTCTCCTTGCCTAAAAAATATATAAATTCGATTGCGAAGACAATTGTATTTGATATATAAAAATACTTTAAACTTAATTACTATGACGCAAATGTGTGAAATTAGAAATCACCTAAACAAATAAAATGAGTTCTTTCCATGGGCTTAAAGGTTGGCTGTTTGATGAGTGATAACTGAAACTTGTTAGGTGTTTCAAGTCGGGCAATGTGTTCGCATATTTCTTATCGTTGGCACCCTGAGGACGGCACTTAGAAGCGCTCACTGATAACACACTACTCAAACGCTTGGTATTGTGAAATAATGCTTTACATTGAACAAATTGACGCAGATGAGACAAAACAATTTGAATTCATTTATCGACGATTTCACAACCACAGATATGAGTGGAATGATTATTTACCTTCACATCTATGATCGGCAGCATGCTTTTGGAGAGATTCCAGCCAGCGGCCCAGCGAATGGCCGGGAGAGCGAATAGATGAAATGTGACAAAGGCGGACACAGGATTTCCAGGAAGACCGAAGAAATACTTCTCATCGCGGCTGGCAAATGTCATGGGCTTCCTAGGGGGTAGGGAGGGGAATCAGCGGAAATAGGCAGAGAATTGTGATGGCTTTTGACTTACCCCGGCTTCATGTTAACCCTTCCGAAGTGCAATTTGAACTTCATGCTCTCCAGCACCGGCTTTATGAAGTCCTTATCACCCATGGATACGCCACCAGTACAGATGACAAAGTCCACGGTCTCATAAAGTTGGGACAAGGTTTGCTGAATGGTTTCAAAACTTGCGAAAGACCACGCTTTAGAAATAGATTTCGTTGCTTTAGTGAATAGCATACTCACTTGTCACTCAATACACGCACATCTATGCAATCGAAGCCGAAGTACGTAAGCAATTCATCCAACATGGTAGAATTCGAGTCATAGATCTTGCCGGGCTCCGGAGGCTGATGCGGGGCCAGAAGCTCGCTGCCTGTCGATATAATGGCTATCTTAGGATTGCGTATTGCCAACTGTACGCCGACAGAAGCCAGCAGAGATTTGGAGACGACCCGCGAAGATTCAAATTCTGGAAACACTTTCTCGCCTTTGCGCAAGTCACAGCCAATGGGTCTGTGGGGGCGGGAAACTGGGCTGAGCAAAGGGCTAAGGCATCCGTAGAGATCGCACTTAACTTACCGCACATCGTAGCCGTTAGTTGGTTGCACTAGCGTCTCCACCAATTTTTCGTTGCCCTGTCTGTCGCGTTGCAGCACCTTTGTGTCCTCGACCTGAACAACACAATTTGTATGGACGGGCATGGCAGCCCCCGTATTTATTTTAAAGCATTCATCCTCCTGCATCGCATAATCCGAGGGCTACCAGGGAAGGTATATTTAGATACGTATGTAGAGGGCGGTGGTATAAGTTTTCAGGCTTTGCTTGGCTTACCTCATCTCCTGCGGCCACGCAGCCAACTACTCGTTTGGCGCCCGCAAATCCTTGCGACTGCACGGCATAGCCATCCTTGATGGATGCCCGAAAGGGCGGAATGTTTACCGGCGATAGCAACTCATTCTGAAATTTTTCCAAGCTCTTGTTGCGCTGCACAATATTGAAGACGATGTCTAAGGCATCTTTGACTGGTAGCATGGGAAAGGACGAATTACGATCGTTGTCGTCGCCAGCGCCTGTTCTGTGTGGACATATATGGCCACGATCCTGAGCCACAATGGATGGTGTAGCAGAGCTATTAGTACTACCCGGATCTTCACGTCGTACCGGAGACACAGCTACGGTGGCCTGCAGCTCAGCATGGGTGCGTTGCACAAGCCCCAAATCGTTGTTTAATAGATGCAGGGCATGTGGCAGAAGATCGCGCACAACCTCAAAGCATTCTCGGACGGCCTTTTCGCTGCCCGGAAAATTGAGCACCAAAGTGTTGCCGGCAATGCCGCAAACGCCACGAGACAAAGCCGCTAATTTGGTCTTTTGAAGTGAAGCAATTGCAATTGCCATGGCTAGCTGGGAACAGTCCTTGTCCAGGAGTGGCTTTGTGGCCTCCGGGGTCACATCGCGCGGAGCGAATCCTGTGCCACCGGTGGTTATGATGACGCGCACATCCTTTTTGTCAATCCACTTGCGCAGCTCCCGCTGAATGAGATCGCGCTCGTCGGGCAGTATGGCTTCGATTATTTGTGTGTTACTAAATGCCTGTTTTATTAGGTGCGCGAGACAGGGACCGCTCCGATCTTTATCTGGCTCCGAGTAGCAAGTATCGCTAACTGCAAAAACGTTTTGGTTTCAAGTCTTTGCGAAAAAAATTATTTGTTAAGACGGATTTAACTTACTCGTTAAAACGCCAAATGTAATTATTCCCATATTCGCTTCTCACACATGTGTGTTCGTTTCACAATTATTTAATTGTTTGTCATATGAATTCGAGAAGCTTAATGAGTTAAGTAGACAGTTGAATAGCGGCCTGCTTTGCGGAAACGGCGTTTGACATTTTTTAGCGCTTTCATCCAAAAACAATGAGGCAACATTGCCACGCTATTTTAAAAATTAATAAATTTTCCTTGCCGAATAATGCAATTTTACTTTTTGCACATGCAGATACCCTTAATACAAATCATTTCCTGAATCAGAGGTGTTCATATAGAAATCCCTGCAGGCACATTAGGTTGCTTTAGTTAAAAGAACAACTTGATTGGGATTTTTTTAAATTGATTTTAGTTTAACTTAATACATCGAAAGTGGGCTTCTATTGTATATAGTATCTATGTACATATGTATGTTTTTACAGAGCTTATGGTTTGTTTCTTTAGACTACACTATAACAATACAAAATTGCAATTAAAAAAGAACAGTGTAATAACAAACATATGTTCGTCCTTCATTTTCCGCCTCTTTCAGCCTTAGTGCGTTCCAACAGTGGATCATAGCCGCTGGCCATTTTCTCCTTGAACTGCTCGTATGTACGTTTGCGGTCAAAGTGTTTCACCCACTGACTAGGACAGGATTGCTCGAAGGCCTTACGCAGTTGCTTGCAAACGTTAGGAATTTGTTCGCCACTCGTTGAGCTGTGCTTGGGCGCATTGTCGTCCAGGCACTTCCAATACTCATCACGTGTGCTCCAGCACTTGGTGCGCTCCGCCTTGTCGGGAAAACTCATTGTGGCAGTAGTTCTGATTAGTTGCTCCTTTCGTCAGTCGCCGTCACTACAGGTTCATCAAAGTACCATTTAAGACAGCTTCTGCCCTCTGTCAGGTGAATTGAACACTGTCAACAGAATACGTCACTATTAGATAGATCCTTGTACTATCTGGATACGATACCGGTAAATTTCCTAATACATTTGCATCTAAACAAATTTCTATGTGACTATCTAAGACCCAACCTCAAAATTATAAAACACTAAACAGTTCATCGAGAGCCGATAGATTACTTACCATTCGATAGTAACTCGTAGTCGATACTTTTGCAGTGAATACAACCGTTACCTATTCGTTATTCGAATTGCAGGAAATTATTTGGCGGCATATTGAAAATCTGTGCTTTTGAAGTTTTTAGTTGTACTACCTTTTATTATAATTATGACATTCCTTGCATTCCGCAATTACAAACTTACAATTCAGTGGTATTACTATACTTTTGATTTAATATCTTTGTATTATATTTAATGCTTAACATTATTGCAAACGAATCTGTGCCATCAATTATTGATGCGACACTACAAATTTCAACTAATTAGTGACGCTAACTAAAATAACAAAAAAAAAAAAGATTTATATATGTATATATATATATGTATGTATAATTTCTGTCAAAATCTCTTTGGAAATATAATTTGGATTAGGGAGGGGGATGAAAAAAATACACTTGAAACACGCTAGTATTGCAAATATTTTGATTAATTTCACCGACAGATTTGATTCGATATGAGATATATATATATTTTATGCAAATATAGTGTGATCGGTTAAAAACTTAAAAGACAGCAGGAAATACAAAATATACGTATATATCGACAAATGTTACAATTAGTTATAATATGGAATCTGTAATGTTGTATTCAAGTTTCTCTTACTCTTTGCAAGGGTATACAAGAAGGTTTTTGAAACTCTGTCTTTGAACAAAATATGGTAATTGATAATATGCATTGATGATTTTGCGAAACCTGCGTGTAAATGTGGCTTATAATTAGGTACTTATAACAAATGTATGGTCTTGCAAGTGGGAAAGCAATAGGTTCCGGTTTCTCAGCAATGGCTGTGGGCGTGGTTTGACATTAACATTACATACAATTTTTATTTTTTTTATTTGTTTTGCTTAATGAAGTCTAGGAACACTGTAAATGTTTTTGAATGCCTTATTCAAATGACGATTCGCCGACGTGTTCAAGATACAAATTTCAAAAACGGCTCGGATCAGCGCATCCAACATCAACGGTTCCAAGTGTCTTTGAATTACATTTCAGCGTTTGATCTTACATTATACATATTATATATTGTATATATACGTACATAAAAGACATACAAAGATATGCATGCATACATATATACAAACACACATTACAGATACATCTATATATACACGTTATCGCAAGACCCTGGAACTGCAATAATAGACAATCAGTTATCTGTAATGAATTGGAATTTCAGGGGCCCCAGCATAAACGTAGTTATTATTTTTACTAGGTTAGTGCGACTAATTGGTTTATGCTTCCTATTAGGCGGCATGGGTATCGTTTTGTATCGTTAGACGTAGGGATATGATAAGAAATCAATTTAAATTTGGCGTTTTGTCGCCCTTACATAGTCGTTACAAATATGTTTTATGTAGATATATAGTATGTATATAATTTGTATCTTAAAATGCATTCCAGTATTTGGTCAATGTGTATGGTGTTTCCTGTAGTACCACTTGTTAGTTATATCGCCATATCGCCTTTGGCTCAATATGACTGCAACTGTTAGCCGTATATATTTATTTTGTAGTTTTGTTCATTTTTTGTTTTAATTTAAAATTTTTGTCGATAGCTTTTTTGAGGCACTTGTGGCTTTTAGGGCCGATCCAATCCTTGGATCTGCCGAATGCCCAAATAGCTGAGCTCAATAGAGCAAAGCCCCTAATATTGTAATTTTCTTTTATGTGAATGTGTGTGCGGCATTTGCAAATTAAATTGCGTTTCTCTTACTTTTGTTTTAAACATTGTAAAACAATTAAAATGCATAATTTGAAGTGCAACTCGTTTGAAGCCTAGTTACGTATTAAATTCACAAAATTCTGTTTTGTTGCGTGAAATAATAATAAAAAAAAAACAAGGAGATAGAAAAACATTGGTGCACAAAGCTTACAAAATCTTGTTCTGTTCTTTCCCTAGCGCCATGCATACATTTGTACATATTTTGCATATAACGACGTCTCATGCATACACACATTTGTACATACAAGTACATACAGTACAAAACAATTTTAATGGCTATCAGTACTTTGCCTGCGCATACATAATGTATATGGTTACTTCACTTTTGTTGTATATTTTTGATTTTGTATTTAAATTATGTATATGTTACATAATAAGAAATATATGTATATATATATAAACTATTTAATGCTTGCATAATTTTTTCTAAAAAAAAAATGGGGTTTATTCCGTTCTTCACAACTAATTTTAGCTAAGAGTATGTGTCAAGAGTGTGTTAATATGATTACAAAATAAGCCGCAAACTTGACACTGCAATTGATATTTATTGTTTAACTCACATCTGTGTGCTTTTTTTGGTGTGTGCGTGTGTGTGTGTATGTGTGGGTCTCAGCATACATGCGTTTTAATTGATTTCAAGCAAGGTGAAAAGTTAACAAAAGCTCGGTAAATAGTTTCATAAGTGTTTTGTTTGTCTTTAAAAAGTTTAACTACAAATACGTGTATAACAGTTTGTACATTATGTACTAAGCTACATACATACATATATAGAAATTACTCTTATGACTAGATACATTCTCAGGTAGTAGCTCTTCCCACATACATATATGAAAATCCTCTATTTTCTCTGGCACTGACACACGCACACACACATTCCATACATACATATTTATATCAGTTTTGATTTGATGTTATGGGCGCTGTTTCTGCAAACAACACTTACATACACAAAACAGACAGATGTACATATTGCACATTGCATTAGAAAACAAATTGATTTAAACAAAAATGTTAAATTAATGTGATATTGGGAATTAAAATTATAAAATGGAATAAAAATAAACAATAATAATAACAAATAATCATGAAACAAACATTTGGCAGTCGAACGCCAACAAACAAATAAGCTCGTAGCGTTTGTTGTTGCTTTTGATTTCGTCTATTCTATACTATTAATATGGCCCTCTCTTTCTCGAGTGATGTGTGGAACAACAAACGACTTGGCTTGGCCAAGTTTTCTGCCGATTTTGCTGCCGTCTCGCTTTAGTGCCGCTAATAGAAACGAGATCGTCGATCGCAGATCGCAAATTGTTGCACAAAGATGTGTTGTGTTGTTAGTGTGTGTGTGTGTGTGTGTGTGTGTATGTGTGTAGTGGTGATCGTGTTGTTGAATGGCACACGAAATGCGGTGATGGTTCTGCTGGTGGGCTGGCGTCCGCATACCAGATAATTTACTTTTTACGCAAATGCCTGAACCACGCCTTCTGCTGCCCCTATGGATGGCATTACATCGGGATCGTTGCCCAGGGACGCTGTTGGGGAGGCATTGCTGCTTGGCGTTTGTGTTGTGTATTTGCAAGACGGTGCCAGGCAGCGACAGCCGCCAGAACGTTGCTCGGCGCGCCAGAATTTGTCACCATAGTCATAGCTGTAATGCACACAGAAGGCTATTACTAACCATCACAAATAATATGCTGAAGGTAAATACCAAATCTCCTCGCCGGCGTCGATGTCGCGGCATGCGAAGAAGGCAATTTTGGGAAAACGATAGTCCTGGTGTTCATAAAAAACGCGCACGGGCAATATGTTTGGCTCGCATGAATGATTGAAGAAACGGCTAACATTGCCATAATAATTGGCATCAATACAATGTCCATTGTCCAAATCATAGTAGTAGCTGTCGTCGGTTCGACGATCCGCCTCATGTTCCGTGAGAATTTCGCCCGCATAGTTGGCCACATAAGTGCCTTTGGGAACATTGGCCAAAGCACGCACACCCCAGCCCTTGACAGACTCTTCACACTCCACAATTTGCAGAGGAGTGCGTATGCCATTCTGTACGACACGATTCTTACAGGAGAGCTGAAGGGAGAAAAGGATAAGGATTCTTCCAATTGTGCGTTCTGCAAACCCTACCTTATTGCAGCCACAAACGTCGTTGCACTCAAAGATTACCGCCGGATCATCGTAGTTGAACTCACAAATCAGACGACTCTCGGCCGTATACCAATTCTGCGAGGAGGCGCCATTACACTGACACATATCGCTGCTACAGCTGTAAATGACAAAAATATACAAGGATTAAATAAATGAATCGTCTGCCGGTCAAATGGCACCCCTCACCTGTCCAGGCACGAGCAGATTCGCATCTGAGAGACTCGACTATCGATCTGCACGGAATTCTGCAATATAATGCATTTGGTTATGTACTTGAAGTCCGGTAACATGAGTGTATCGGCCTCATCTTCGTGCTCCGACATGGTCAGCTCGTTGCGTACCGCCTGTATGGGACGCACCTCACGTCCATTCGATACATCCGCACAGACGACGCGCGTTCGCAGCCCAAGCGGTCGAAAGCTGCGCATTTGCATATTGAAGCCGACAGTACGACCACATTCGGACTCCTCGTTCGGTATGCAGTCGAAGGGAAGCTGTTCGGCCTTATTCTTGATCATCAGATCGGCACCATTGGCGATAAGAGCGATGCACATCCGCGTCACCGAATGCCGGCAAGCAATGTGACTGTAGATATATGTAACAATAATAATAACTTATTTAATAAGTTCTTAGGTTCTACTTACAGAGGTGTATCTCCCTCCACGTTCTGGACATTACAATCGGCACCCGCTTGCAGGAGGACGGTTATTGTCTCCAGTCCATCGTTATGGAGCGTCGACCAATGTAGGACCGTGTTGTTATCGTTGTCACAGATGTTGGGATCAGCACCATGGTTGAGTAGCAAACTAAATTTGGCAAAATGGAACATGATTAGCATTTATTGGATTGAGGGATTCCCTCACACACATACACGATTAACACTCACCTCACAATGTCCGTGTGTCCGAGCTCTGCTGCCCAAACCATAGCCGTCCAGCCGCCCTCATCCTGAGCATCGATGAAGCTTAAAAAGCTAGCTATGTTGCGAGATGCCCGATAGCTCTCCACAATAAGTTTGGTGGCTTCCAGATTCCCCAATTTAGCGGCAATGTGCAGACTCGTTTTGCCGTCAGGACCCTGCAAAATTAAATCAGCTTGACTAATTAGCAGCTGCTGGATATATGCGATCATTGATTGGACCCACCTTTATAGATACGTCGGCGCCGCACTGCACAAACAGATTGAGTATATCGCATTTGTCGTTCATTACCGCGCACATTGTCGCAGTCCGCAGATCGTTGTCCACAATGTTGATGAAGTCCTGCGAAGAGGCCCCTTTGCAGAGCAGCAAATAAGCCATTTGCAAAGTGCCCGAATGGGCCACGAGATGCAGACAGGTACCGTTCTGGAATTCGCGCATGCGCGTTAACACATTGTAATCAGCAGCTGCAAGGATGGCAAAGGAAAAGTTTTAATGCATCCAGACATAAGGGACTAGCACTCAATGGATTACTTTACCTAGAATTTCGGCCACACGTTCCAAATCATCATTCTGTACGGCATAATACATATCGCCGGAGGTGAATTCCGTGGTAACGCGTCCGCTGGCGGAGACCATTCGACCGCGCAGCACGACATTCATCACAGACTCGGGTATGAGCTGCTCAAAATTAATGGTATTGTTTTGGTTGTGTCCGGCACTGGTGGCGCTGGCTTTGGAGCGCGTGCCATTGTTCTTGTTGCCGGACTTGCTGCGACCGCCACCTGCGCCTTTGCTCCCGCTTTTGTTACTCCCATTGGCGCTGCTGGCCGAGAATTGTGAGAGATGCGCTGAAGTGGTCAGCTTGGCGGGTTTACTGCGGGAGAGAATCGAATTTAATAAAATTATAAATATATGAGATAGCGGGCGGTAGACAGCACTTACATTTTTGACTTTTGCGTGGGCAGAAACACGGGCAGGGTCTGGCATTTCATGGTTACTGTCGAGGTGCGTTCCGGAGTGTCAACGCCACAATGCGGACATTTGAGCACCAATATTGGACTCGTATAGCTGCTGGCGCTTTGCTGTGGATCATATGGGCTGTTTAGTATAAAGCGTTGGGCGCAATCCGGATGAAAGAAATGCTGTTGCTTGCAGAGCACGAATTTTCCCTGTCAGAAAGATAGAGAAATAGAAAAATAGAGAGACAGAGGGAGAGAGAGAGGAAGGAAAAATTGAATATAAACCATCAAAAGCAAGTCCATGGAGAATAGTAGTGATATTTTTATAATTTAATCAGAAAGCGCATGAAGAAGAGTTGCATCAGCTCCCTATAAAAGGAGAGTGATGGGACAGTTCTAAAGCAGCCCTAGGCGCATTAGCATTAATTTCTTTCTTTTTTTTCAATGCTACATATTTTAGTATTTGTCAAAACTGGCGATACAATTGATTGTACAAGTATATGTTTTAAAAAGCAATATAATCTTGATTGGTGTCTTTAACAATAAAAGAGATTTAGATCGTGTGGCGACAAGACAGAACACGCTAAATATTTGAAAAGGGGTCCATAAGCTCTAAACTTTCATTCGACTGAATAAAACACCGGTAAGTAGAAAAGATAGTAATGCCATTAGCAGTTCACAGAACACGAAATTATAATTTTTGTACTTTAAGCACAGCTTTTAAAAAATAGGATTAAAACAAGTAAAAAAGCTAAAGTCGGGTGTCCCGACTTTGAAGTACTCTGTACATATCTTTAGAATAATTAAAGATTTTAAAAAAATTAAGAAAAAAAAAAATAAAACAAACTCGTAGCGTACACACATAAGTCATCTTTGTGCAAAATTTGGTGTCTCTAGCTCTTATAGTCTCTGAGATCCAGGTGTTCATACGGACGGACAGACAGACAGGGTTAGATCGACTCGTCTTGTCACGCTGATCAAGAATATATATACTTTGTGGGGTCTGCCACCCCTCCTTCTGTCTGTTACATTTTTCAGCTCGCGCAAACCTTTCACATTTCATGTATAGAGTATAATAAACCAAAATAGTTACACAACTTTATTAAATTCGTGGACTCCTTCTTACATTGCGTGTTTGGTCTAACAGACGGACAAAGCTCAAAGATCATTTGTGAAGCTTTGATCAGACAGCCAAACAGACAAACAAAGTTTTAGAATTTCACAAGTTGGTCATAAATAGTACGAGTAATAAAACCAATAAGAATTTCATATTTATATTTATATAAAATTTTTTGCAAGAAAAAGCTTTCTTTTTAACTCCTACTCTTTACGAGTAGACGAATTTGTGCGCAAATTATTTGCATGTTTGACTATAGTTTAGGGTCTAAGGTCTAAAGAACTGAGGGACTTACCTGCGTGCAGAAGATGCCGCAACCGGCGCAGCAATTGTGCGATTGCAGTCGCTTCTTGTGCTCGTCACAAAGGATCATGTAACCGACACGCTGGCTGGGACGCAACAGATTGTGGACCTCGGCGGAGAGTTCGTTGCAGCACCCAATTTTCTGCTCATCAATGTTGTCGATGGCACAGCAATAGGAGGCATCGGGCGCATTGCGTGCGTAGTATTGAGAGCTTTTCTGGCACAGACAAATGAATTTGGTGGCGCCACTCTTGCTGCTGACATTTGGCAATGTGGCGGCGGCTTCGCCACCAGCAGCTGCCAGAATTGTGCTGTTCAACGAATGCAGCTGGGAGTGGTCCACGGTGGCCGATGGCTCCGAAGCTGCCACATCCACGTATTTGGGTGGGCGGCCAACGCCTGCGCCTACACGACGCGGCACTTTGGGCGCTGCTGGCTGCGGCGGGGCTAATGCGGTCTTTGGTTGTGTGGCCGTTGTCATGGTTGATGAGGTCTCCTTGCTGGTATTGCGCAGACGCAACGTGACGCTGGGCTTGCCCACATGCACGCGAATAGTGGGCACAAACTCCTCGTTGTCCGTATTGGAGCTATCATTGTCGCTGGCCTCGCCGCTGTTATTGCGCTGCAGTCCCAAATGCTTTAGATGTTTCTCCTTCTGTTTGGCCAGCTTGCGCAGTTGTTTCTTGTTAAGTTTGCGCTCCTCCGGTGAGCGATTGGCATTAAGCTTGGACGCCTTGATTTCGCTGAGAAACTCATCGACGTCGGGACACGGTGGTATCTGGCTCTTTGCCCACAGCGCAGCGTCCGAATTCTTGATGTCACGTGACGACTTGAAGAGACGCTTCTTGATAGCATTGCTGCCGGCTGGATGCTGGCTATCGACACCGCTGCCATCAGACCTCTCGCTCTTTTGGCGCGATGTTGAGGAGCTGGAATTCCCGCCGCATGGATGTTGTGGCGGCGTCTCAAAGTGTCCATCGCCCATGTTGCCACTGCTCCCAGGAGTGCCTGCAGCCTCCCAATGTGTCATCCGCTCAATGTGCTTTGTTTCGAATTCGCAGCGCAGTTCGTCGTTTGCAAGTATTTTGGGCGTGGGCTTTATGCGTCGCTTTGAGCGTTTAGGCAGCTGCACCGCTTCGGCACCACTGGTTGTTACCCGTTTGCTGCCATTTGACAGTGGACTGTTGCCAGTGGGGGTCAGACTGTGCTTGCTGGGTATCGCCTGAACTACTTCCGTCTTGGTCAGAGCTGCCGCTGACACCGTCATAGTCACCGTTGCTGTTGCCGCCGTCGTTGTCACCGTTGCTGGTATCTTGGCCTTGCGTCCACGCTTCTTTGGTGGCGTCTTCTCGTCTAGCACGGTCGTGGCACCACCACGTGGGAGTATTACTGTGGATGTCAGCTCAGTATTAGCAAGATCTGCGACAGTGCCAGCCACTGTGGCCAGCGGCTCCTTTTCCGTCTTAAGCTCTTCCCAACCATGTCCGTCCTGTTACATAGAAGAGAAGGGAATAATAAATATATATGCTGCAGTAAAGGTATCGCCACATCCTCTATAAGTAAGTAAATATCAATATATTTTTGTAGCGCCAGATGAACAGTTCGAATATATTAGTTCCCCATTTTGGTTTACTCGCTTATCGACGAGTTCGGTGTGCTGTTGCGAGCGCTTATCAGCAACACACACGCCTTATCGGCACTGTTGCCATCGTAGCCACCACCTTGTTAGATATGTTCACCAGAAGCGTATGAGTGTTCACTTACCACTGGTTTGAAATGATCTTTATTTCCCAGACGCACACTGCGTCGCATTTTCTTGGGATCATCTTTGGGCGTGGCCGCATCCTCGTCAGTCTCCGTCTTCACTACAACGTCGCCCAATTGCTGGCTGACGTCCTCTTCCGGTTGCTTGCGCTTCCGCCCCACTTTACGCTCTACAGCTGGAGGTGATGATGACTCTGCCGGCTCTTCGGTTGTTGGGACTGCCTCGGAGCAACTGGACTCAACATTCGTCTGATCAGCATCCATTTTGATTTTCTTGGTACGACCACGACCTCGTTTTGGGGCTGGAGGTGGCGATGTTGCTGTCGCTGTTGGACCACCAGCCACATCATCGGAACCACTGCTATTATTTGTGGTACCGGACCCTTTTTCTGGCTCTTTTTTGACATCAACTGCCTCGCTGGTTTCCCCCGGCAGACTTTCTACTTTATTTACACTTTGGGCACGTTCTGTCTCCTGTTGCGGCTGAGTAGTCGGAGTGGGCGATGCTGTAGCTGTTGGTGTGGGTGTCGTCGTGTCCGTTGGTCTGGGCGTGCGGCGCAGACGTCGCGAATTGGCGGCAGTGTTTTGTTCCTTTAAATTAGAGAGGGGTGGCAAAAACACTTAATATATGTAGACATTTTTCCAACACGCCGTGGAAAACAAAAATCAAGTGTATTGATCTTGTTCAGAATTATGAGCAATGTTTAAGAATGTTTAATATGTTGATTAGACATGAATCTTTAATCAGTAACGGTTATGAACATCCGATACACAAAATCAAAGAGTTGCCTAATTATTAATTAAGAAAAGTCTAACTAATACACGATTAAGAACTTGCCATGCATATTGCGGCCTACTTATTGAAAAGTTTTTATCTTGTTAGCATTTAAGCAACAAATCAACCTTTCGTGAAGATACTAAATATTTTTGTCATTTACTCGATATGGGTAGCCAACTTATTTGGTTCGTAATTTGGGATTCAAAAGTTTATTTACAAATTTCATAGTGAAAAGTTCATTTCAAATAGCATCATACTATAAATACTTGTACACAGAATACCGTACGAATTTGAAAATTAAAACTGACCATTTTTTAACTCATTACATTTTAATTGAAAACAGAAATTTAATGAAATATGAGCAATGGTGTTGTTTTCTTATTTCATTTTTCATCTAGCTTTTGCAGTAAACCCAATTTAATGGATGCCTCGTTTTTAATTTGTTAGTTTTGAAGGAATTCTACTTTAATATATCAACTGCTTAGACATTTATGAATTGGTTTTATTATTAAGGATAGATCTTCAAAATATTGCTATTAGATTTGAAATAGTATGATATAACTATTTCAAACAAATTAGACCAAAATTACATTAATTATACGAATATACCTCTTTAGGATTAGGTTGAGGCGCTAATCATGAAAACTGATAATTCAAATATTGTAGGTGGGCTGAGACTTATCAATACTCATTTTTAGTCATTCTACCCATTTATGTACACATGTGCATATGTATGTTTGTTAGTCACACATTAAATTGATGTGTGTACTTGTGTGTAATAAGGGCGCGTAAAACTAATAAGGAAAATTAATTAAACTAAAATCACTTAAACAAATTGAGCAAAAATCAAGTACAGCCATAACTGCATGTGTGAAGAAATGTCACATTTACGGATACATTTGTACGCAGTCACACTCACACACACACACACGCACACATTAACCAAATACTTACATTTTTATCAGCACATTCGGCTGCGGCTGCGTTTGCTGCTGTTGCGGCGATGTCGTCGTTGGAATCTGTTGCGTCAGCGCCGCCAGCGACAGAGTTGACAACAAGTGGAGCCAGCTCTGGTATTGCTGCTGTTAAGGCGGCTGATGCTGCTGCTGCTGCTGCTAAAGTCGACTTGACGTTGTTGTTGTCTGTTGTGGTCAGCGTCAACGTCTGCTCATTCACTCTCACCTGCTGCTCTTCCTGCTGTGTTTGCTTTTTCTCTTCCTGCTTGTGCTGCTGCTCTTCCTCTGGCAACTCCTTCTCAGTCTTAATGCCTTCAGTGCTTGTTGCAACTGTTGTTGTTGCTGGTGCTCCTGCCGCATCAGCAGCAGCAGCTGCATTGGGCAAAGTTGCTTCCGTTTCCTGCTCCAATTTAACTAGGGAATGACTTGTTTTTGTTGTGGCAGCAGCGTTGTCATCGCTGCCATCCCCATCGACTCCTGCTGCTGTTGTTGCTGTTGCTATTGTTGATTCTGCTTCGGCTGTTTGCTTGGCATCGTCGGCCGCTGTCGTCTCTGTCGGCTTTTCTGTTGCTTTCGCAGTTGCTTCTGAAGTCTCTATTGGTTCTGCTGATGTCGGCGTCGGCGTCGTTGCTAGCGCTGGCATCGCAAGCACAGTTGATTTAGTTTCTGCACTTGCTGTTGCGTTCGCGCCACCTTCGCTGCTCGTCTGTCCTTGAAGCGACAACTCATCCGCTGTCTCAGTTGTGCCTGCAGTGGCTGCCTTTAGCTTGACATCTTTTTCGTCTTCTGCTTTATTCTCTACGGCAGCAACGTTGCTGTCAGTTGCAGATAAAATCTCATCCTTTAAATTATCCTTGCCGCTTTTGCTGGTAGTGCTTTGCTCTGTCGTTTTATTTGTTATATTAATGTCTTGCTCCAAGTCTTTAGCTTTGTCTAACTGCACTGCTGCAGCGACTGCTGCGTTTGTTGTTGTTGTAACTGTTGCGTCATTTTGCGTGTCTTGTGGCTGAGCATCGACTGTTGTTTGTTTTGTGTCCAGCTCCGCCCCCACCTCCGCCTTTGACTCCACACAAACCACAACAGCAGCTTTTGCAGTTGCTTCGTCTTCGCATTTGTTGTTGTTGTTGTTGATGTTGCTGCTGCTTGCATTGTTACTGCTACTGTTGTTGTTATTATTGCTGGTCTGTTGTTTCTTCTCCTTATCCTTGCATGCAAACTGATTATTGGCCAAATTACGCCATTTAACCGTCTTATCCTCGGCCAGTTCCCTATTGAGCAATGTGCCACCTTCCGCTGTGCTGGTGGCACAGTCGCTATTGAAGGTGCTTGCCATGCTCGTCAAGAGATCAGCGATTTCACTCATCTTTTTGCTGAGTGGCAGCTTTGGAAGCTGTACAGTTTTGTTTTTATTTTTGATTTGGTTTGGTTTGTGTATTTTGATTTAAGTTCTTTTCACCGTTATTTACTTATTTATTGTTGTTGCTGCTGCTGTTGTTGCAAATTGAGAATCAATATTAATTTTCACACACACACACACACACACAAAGAGAACAACAAACGCAGGTCAGCGCCAACATTTGACGACGATAACAACAACAACAAGCACACATAGGCATGTGGAGCTGCGCTGCCGCTGGCGATAATATTGGCCACCAAGCAGCGGCGCGCAGCTATTTATCTCTACATACAAGTATTTGTCATCGACCTACTCGCATCGTCAAAAAAAAATAACAAAAAAAAAAATCGACTGTGACTTTTTGCCGAATGCCTTCAGCAGGTAAGTAAAATGGGGGAAAATACAAAAAATTATTATCACGCAACAATAAGAAGCAGCAGCGCTCGTAATGAAAATGAAATTAAATGCAGCTCCATAAACGCTGAACCACCCATGCCCGCACCCACACCCGCGCTCATACATACACACAAGCACACGCATAGTTAGAAGCAAACAAATACGAAAAAACGAGTAGAAGTCATGACAGCCTGACTTTTGCATACTCTACACCCTGCACCCGCCCCATTCTCCGCCGCAGTCCTTTAACATTGTGGCACAACTTGTTTCTATGGCAGCTATGTTTATGATATATGGACCAATTTCAGGTTATGTTGAAGCACAATACAAATATTCATAAGCACAACTATTGTTAAAATATCTTAGTACACAATAAAATCATTATAATAAATGAGTGCCCCGATTGATCCAATTAGCCATATGTATATATATTTACATACCATGCCAGCCATGGTTACCATATATTCTTAAAAAACGTGGCATTAAGAGTAATTTTTGCACAGGTCGTTTCTATATGATTTTGATTCAATATTATATTATGGTGAGGCGCTTTAAGAAACTAATAAACCCCAAATTTGATTCAGGTACCACCATAAAATAATGTGATTTTCTACCAATCGATCCTATGACATGTACATACATACACACATACGTACACATACACATGTACATACATACATACATATATAAAATATGTTTTGCAAAAGATCACGGTGCTCATACAGACATGTTTAGGTCGATGCGTGTCCATCATGCTGATCATATATGTGTGTACATAAGTACATACATATGTATGTATGTTTATGTTATAGACATGGAGTCTGCAACACGTCCTTATGCCTGTGACATACACTTTCACAACCTAATATGGGTTACGTTTGGGTATAGGGTATACAAAAAGAGAGCGAACAGAATGCTGAGACAGACGTCCTGCGCCAACGGCAACCCACTTGTCTGCAACAAAGCAACAACAACGTTGCACGACAGGAGACGTAACAACAACAACAACATCACTGCTACCACCACCACCACCAACGGACACCGAAACACTCATACAAGCACACACATGGACGAACAGCGGCAGCGGAGTTTACATTTGACACCACGACGACGACGGATACGACGGCAGCGAAGCTTTAGCTTTGCGTATTTTTATAAATAACATACAGTTTCATTTATTTATTATTTGCTGTATTTTTGATGTATTAATTTTTCTTAGCAAGTGCATAGTCAATGTAAAGTTGTCGCGTTTTTGCTGCTGCTTTTCATGCGCAAAAAAATGTTATAGAAATCGCTGCTGCCTGCCTCTGATTAGCTCACAACATGCTACTATTTTAGCTGCTGTTGTTGTTGTATTTATATTTTATGAATATGGTCAGCATTTATTGTTGTTTTACTTTATGTCTTCTTCTTCTGCGTCTTCGTGTGCTGCTGCTGCTACTGACCGTCGTCGTCTCCGTCAGACCCACGACGATTCGAGGCTGCTGTTGCCGTTGTTGTTGTTGCGCTGCTGTTAATAGCAGTTATACACTAGTTTTAGTTGTTGATTTTTCTTGTCGAAATTGTTGAAATTTTCAATGCGCTCCGCTGCCCCACTGTTATTGAAAAGTTTGGGTTGGTTTTTTTAACATCACCATCACATTGAAATCAATTCGCGCACTGTATGGGAAACTGTTTTATGACTTCACTTCATTTTCTTTCGTTTGTCGTCGTCGCACTTAATCGATGTATTTTTCAACGTCTTATTTTGTACATAAAGAGAAGTATGGACACGCGCTCTCATTAAAGAATCATATAATTATTACTAAAAAAAATATTTAAGAAAAAACAATCACACACACGCACACACACTTTGTTTTATGCCTCCGTTGCTTGTTATCCGCCGCAGCGCGCAGCCACACTCTGCGTAACTCTTAGTCGTCGGTGTCGTAGAGTGGAGCGTGTTTGGGTGCAGCTAGACCCAGTGGTCAATTTGGCACGCCCTTAGACAAACAACTTTTTCACATTGGGTATACGGTAGGGAGGTACAGACACTTTAATAATTTTAAAAATATTTTTGTAGTTTAACCCCACAAATGCATACATTGTCCCGCTAACATATAAAATGCTTAAAACAATCGAGAGTCATTGGCTTATATTGGCCACAGGGTCACGAGTAAATATTATGATCGAGGGCTGAAAAACACGTTATTAGTACAGGGGCCGTTGCCACACATAGCTTTCAGACAATACCTGCACAATAAAAATAAGTGTTTGCGTAGGTGCATTTAATAATACCCAGGAAAGATTAAACAAGTTAAAATACTAGCTTATAATGCAAAAAATAAGGCAATTGGACTCGATAACTTATCGATTGGCAGGGCCGCTAGCTCTTTGTTTGTTGCACATATGAATTTACTATATTGCTGTTGCTAATGTAGTAGCTTGTATCATACTCCATAGATAATCGATTACAATAATAAATAGTCTAATAAAAATGTGTACTTTATGCATTTCATAATAAGAATTCAAACTAAAATAACCGCTTATCTCATGAGCACTGTCAACGACTGAGTGGTGTGAAACCGCGATTTTTCAGTTCAAGTTGGCAGCACAGGAACAACAGCTGCATACACATGCATACATATACATACACAGAAGTAGAAATACACAAGAGAAAAGAGTGGCAGAGAGGACACAATTCAGTTGAATATTATTCAATTGATTTGTTTATTTTCACTTTATTTTGTAATTTATGTGCTGCAATTGCAATACGTCTGTCTGTATGAACAAAAGGCATTGGCTCATAAGTTATTTATAACGGCAAGACTGCAAAAATCGACGAGGTGCACACAAATATAGAATGTTAGAAGATGCGCATGCGCGGCCGCAAATTGCTTTCAATTGTCCTGCCACTGCTCCTAATCATTATTCTGTGCATCAGTTACATTTCAAATCATCTAAGGGACAACACGGATGATGAGTTTCTGATCCATCTGCCCGAGAGCGACGCCAGTACAGCAGCTCCTGCTCAAGGCCAGCGACCTGGACCGCTCCTCAATCTCACAGACTTTGATTATTTGCTGCCAAATGATTTGTGTCGGCGTGCCGATAGGGAGCTGTTGGGTAAGTCTTCACCAGTTTTAACCTGTTGTTGTTTTTTAATTTTGTGCTCTGGTCTCTTTTTGGCAGCTGTGCTAATAGTTACCTCCTATGCGGGACACGATGCTCTGCGAGCGGCACATCGTCAGGCTATATCGCAGAGCAAGTTGGCCGAGATGGGGCTCCAACGCATTTTTCTACTGGCAAAGCTACCGGTTAGGGAGCTTTTCATCACACAGGCACAGCTGGCGAGTGAACAGGATCGCTTCGGTGACCTTCTCCAGGGAAATTTCGTAGAGGATTATCGTAATCTGAGCTACAAGCACGTCATGGGTCTACGTTGGGCTGCGACGGAGTGCCAGCATCGCGCGAAGTTCATTATTAAGCTGGATGACGACATTATTTACGATATATTTCATTTGCGACGCTATCTGGAGTCGCTTGAGGTGGCCCAACCGACACTGGCGACGTCCAACACGTTGCTCGCAGGCTATGTGCTGGACGCTAAGCCGCCGATACGCAACCAAGCCAATAAATGGTATGTGACGCGGCAGGAATATCCACACGCACTCTATCCGGCCTATTTGTCCGGCTGGCTATACATCACAAATGCGGCGACAGCCTCTCGCCTCGTCGCAGAGGCAGCACACACGTCTATCTTCTGGATAGACGATACCTGGCTAACGGGCATTGTGCGAACACGCCTTGGCATTCCGCTGGAACGGCACAACGATTGGTATTCGGCCAATGCCGAGTTTCTTGACTGTTGTGTGCGCGACCTCAAGCAATGGAGCTACGAATGCGAATTTTATGCGGGGCCCAATGGGGCGGACGCCAAGCTGCTGATCGAGTTTCTGCATAACGTTGAAAAGTGTTATTTCGATGAGTGCAGCAAACGACCGGCGAGCAAATCGTTGAAGCAGACCTGTGTGGCCTCAGCCAAGGCACTGGTGCCGGACCATGGTGTGGCTGTGGTCCAACCAATTAAACTCAGATGACCGTAATTGCTGGCATTTTCTTTGATGCAGCCCCCGCCGTCCATACTAACAAGTGTTCCCACTCGTACGTGAACTCACGTTTAGGCTAAGTCCAATAGAATTAAGTATAATTTGTGCAAATTGGTAACGATTACATCACTACCACATATATATAGTTCATAGTCTATTTGTAAGTTCGAAGAAAGTGCATTAAAATCCATTTTAAATTATTGAATAACATTGTGTGGCATTTCAAATCAAAACTCCGATCATTGAAGTAGTCATAGAATATAAGTTCTACTCAAATGATTTCAATTTAAGCAAGCAACAAACGAAATACGATATATCCTGAGTGTCCTTAAAAACACGTAAACATCTTACGTTTCCGAAAATCTCGCGAGTGATTCGTTGTCTGTGTAATTTGAGTATCGGCCAGCAAGCAAACGAAGAAGAAAGCTTATTGAAAAATAAATATTAATTTTCCAGTTCCTTCCAGAACGAAGGCAAAAAATTCTTTCATAGCTCTCTTTAAACACGCAAAAGCTTTATAAGGCTAAGACAATGTTTCCAAGAAGGTGTAATAGCAATGTTATGCCCCGTCTGAACCGACCGCGTGTTTTAATCTCTCGTGCGGCGGGGTATATGAAGCGTCTTGAGAAGAATCATCCTTACCGATTGAAGCACAGATATGGTGAGTTCATTTAATTGTTTTTTCAAGGGTCACTCCACTTCTCATGTGCCCAACAGAACTGGAACATTGGCGTAAATTTATGCCACATCTACGTTTCACCAATATCGAGCAGCCGAAGAAGGAGTCTTTGATGGAATCGCTGGATAGAGTGATTGAATCTGGTGATGGTGCTGAAGTTAAGGTGGCCATTGATAATAAGCTCTTCAAATGCCATCTTATGGTGCTGCGCACCTGGTCTTCGCTTTTCGAGAAATCCCAGATAGAGAGCAAGATGCTAGAAATGGCAAATGCAAAGGTGACAGCCAAAGCCTTTGAAATCGTCTACACATGGATGACCCAAATGGACTGCGAATGCCCACGTTCCCAAATATTGGACGTGCTGATCGCCGCCCAGTTTTTGCAAGCCGATCGTCTGGTGGCCAGCATCTTCGATTGCCTGAGCGACAAAAATAACTTTTGTGAAATCGATGCCTTCCACCTCTTCATGGAAGCGCGTAGCAAGAACATCACACCTGTTGCCGAGTTGATGTTGCGTCGCATCAGCCGATCGTTTCTGCTTCTTCTGACCACCAAGGAGTACCGTGAACTGAGTGTTCAACACCTGTGCTATATGCTCGACTCCAATAACCTTGGAGTTCAAACGGAGATTGAGGTGGCAATACCTATTAAATATAATATCTTTATAATATTTTCAAATATTTAAAAATTAGGTATTCTACGGCGCTTTAATATGGATCTATCATGATTTCGAAGCGCGCAAAAATGATATTTGTCGGGTGCTATCTGCCGTCCGTTTTAAGCTTATGCCATCACATTATTTGCTCTACTGGGCCGAGAAGCTCCACGAGCTGGAGCTGGAGATAGCGGACGCTTTGTGTCCCCTAATGCATCTGGCCATGATATACCAGCAGGAGTTGCATATACGAACTTTCAACGCTGACGAAATGGGCCCCTTTGATCGTGTATGGTTGAGAGATGCCTCATGCTTGTATCGCAAGTTCTTGGATCAAGATAAACCCATTGAGATCACATTCGAGTTGTTTCTGGCCAATCTGACGCGCATACAAAAGGCATCTCGCACTTTTGTCTCTCGGGTGGTAGAAGTGGAGTTTGTGTTCGACGACGAATCAGATAAAGAAGAAGACTCGTCTCTACTATCGCCAGCTGAAACTCCACACACAAACGAAAGCCAGAAACCTGCGCTTCTTTTAAAAACCTAAAAGATTTCCAACTTTACAATCAGACCTGCTCCCATTTCTGATCTCGATCGAACGAATTCGAAATCTTTTGGTAAACATTTCAATTTTTGCAGCTAAAATGGAACGCATCAACAAATATCAGTTATCGAATTATTTGACGGAAAACTAAGTCAAAACTATTTCGACAGGTTTGATCGAATTCAGAAACGGAAACACGGCTAAATACTTGAATTTATTGGCCAATGCTTATGATGTTTTTGTTTTCTAGCCATATATTCTGTAAGTGCCAAGTATATTTTATAGTCCATTAGTTTTTATTTATGGGTGTGAGTGAGTTTAACAATTATTTAGGTTGTGAAAAATTGACTAAAAGTCCCAGTATTCTTCAAGGCACCTCTAAAATTATCAATCCAGTTGGTTAAGTCCAAATTGTGTGTATTTATTACTTGAAAATAAATTAAATATTTGGTAGCAACAAAATGAAGGACCACTTCTTATTTCTGAAGCTTCTCGAGACGTTGCACTTAAGTGTCTATCGACTAGAGACCTCCTACAATGAGTGGCGGCCCATAGAAGAGAGGGGAACTATAGAACATACGCATTATACTTCCGATTGATGTCGGTTGATCTGAGGTGTAAGCGTAATGTTTTTGATACGGGACTGAAGAATTCACAAAAATGATTTATTTAATGCTCTACATTTGCTTCAAATGATTTGGGGAGAGGTTATACTTACAATGGACATCTCAAAGTTTTTCTGATGTGAAGCCCAACATCTAGGTTAGTTATATTTCGGAATACGTGTTTTCCAATAAGTCTACATCCAGCTCATTTGATAATTTGAGAATAGTTTCTACAAACAGCTTTTTTCAAACGTGACAAGTTCATTAAAAGAAATCCTTCAAGTAATTTGTTTTATCATTCTTTATTATCATAAATAAATTTAAATTAAATAAATGCAATACAATTAAGCACAATTTCATCGTTCTATGAAATTACTTTTCTTGTTTCCTTTCACTCTATATTTTTGTTGTTGTGTTTTTCTTCATCTTCTTTCATCGCCTTTTTACTTATGTTTTAAAAAATTGCTGCTGTTTGCCGTTTATTGCTTTTAAAAAATACATTTTTGCTTGGAAATGTATTTAATTTTTATTTCTCATTTAAGAATAAATAAATGTGAGTGTGTGTGCGTGTGTAAGTGTGTGAGTTTTGGAAATCAGTTGAGTGTGTGTGCGTGTGTGTGTGTGTGTATGAGTGTGTGTGCGATCTGCAGCCGCAGTCTCTATAGAAGTTACAAAAGAGATAGAGAGCGAGAGAGGGAGAGATAAAGTATACGACATGGTGAACAATTGCGGTTTGAATTGAAGTTCGTCGATGGGTCTTTTGTAACTTTATAGAAAGTACGAGCGAGCAGCTTTTCTAATGCTTTCATATATTTCTCATCAATTTTTAATTAATATTCGCATATAAATGTGCAATGTTTTTTTTCATTCGCCTTCTCCTTTCTTCGTTTCTTTGCTAAAAATTATAAAAATAGGCTAAGAGTACGAAATTTGTTTCGCGTTCGCTACCATTTGCTGTTTGTTTTTTTTTCATTTCACTTTCTATATGTCTAAATAAATATAAATAAATAAATTTATATATTTAGTAATTATTTAAAAAAAAAAACAAAAAAATACGAGTATCAGCTAGTCAAGCAGCTGTGCGTGTGTGTGTGTGTGTGTGTGTGTGTGTGGGAGAGAGTTAGGGTGTGTGTGTGCGTGCCTGTGTCGGTTATTATTGCATCTGTTTCCTGTTATTAGCATTCTTCAGTTATCCTCTGGTAGCGAGCATTGTCCAAACATTCACAGTTCCTCAGTACTTTAGAAGGTATTTCGGGCAATGCTCGGCTCGTCCGAGCTAGTCAGTGTGCTCTCATTGGCCAACTCTCTCTTAGCTCTGATGAGTATATATAATGGTATACTGCACAAATGAGAGAGGCAGGAGCCCTGGTAGACAACTAAAGAGCTACCAAAGCACAAGAGAGCGCATTGCAGCTACGATTGTGTTTTCGTTTGCTTGCGTGTGTGTGTACATGAGCATGAGACAGATAGAGCGAGAGAGGCATAGAGAGTGTGTATGTGTGCGTGTGTGTGAGAGTGACACTTTTCTTGTGTATTGTTTTTGTTTTCTTTTTTCGCTTGCTTTTTAAATCTTTCTTCTTTCTTCCTATGTCGCCTAAACTTATGCTACGATTTTGTGCGGCTGCATCCATTTCTTCATGTAATAGCAGAACAGAGTGGAGATATAGAGCAGAATCATCAAGGCGCAGGTTACAGCAAGCGCCAGCACAGACGTCTTGGTCGGGCATGGCTCGATAATGGTGACAGTCTTGTCTGCAATTTCAATTTAAGTTAAAGAGATGATATAGTTGTACATGGGGTATGGGTTAGGAGTTGATGGACGAGCTTTGCTTACCTTTGGCAAAGTCTGTGCTTGGATCTGCCTTGAAGAATTCACGTTTCTCATCACCGAAGTCCAAGACCAGAATCTCTTGGGAGATGTTCATATCGTCCTCGCTCTTGGTTTCGTTGCTAAGGAGTCGTAATAGATATATAAATGAATGATAATAGCAGTTGGGCTAGCATTAGAACTCACCTTTCGATGGAACGACGACGCCTTCTGCCCAATGATTCGAAAGACTCCATGTTCCATTCACACACAGCTGGCTCGCACGGGCCGAGACAATACTTGACATTGCATTGGAATATGACGCCGTAGCTCTCGGTGAAACGGAACGCCTCGTAGGTGGACTGAAGGGCATTGCCGTCGGCCGTGAAGCCGGGAAAGATTGTGGGATCTGTGGGACAGCCATCGTCGTCGATGATTTTGAAACTGGTGCGCGCATCCTTGGCCATAGCCACGCAGGAACGCGCGAAAATGCCATAAGGTGCTGTGGATGAAACGGAAGCTAATCCCAATGAGCAAGTGCTGCCAGAACCATTCATATTAAGCTATACATACTGTCTTCGGGTATCTCGATGCGGAAATTGAGGCGATCGCCGATGCGCACAGTTTCGACCTCGCGCTGGCGTGTATCCAAAATACGAATCCTTGGTGGTGGCGCCTCGGGCGATGAGTTGATGTGAATCATCTCAGGATCGCGTATGGGCATCATGCCGAAGGTAATATTCTTGGAGCTCATGTCATACGTGCACTTCACCTTGTAGATCTTGTCCGCCTTGGTCATCACGACGCTGTGATGCTGCAGCACAACCGTATTCGAATAGACACCCGTCTGGAATCAGCAAGACTCTGTGTGAGTAAATGCTATTGGGTACAGCATAGCGCAGAAACTTACCACGCTTTGGGTATTGCAGTCCTGTCCGGCCATGGTCAGATCGAGGCGGAAGGCATCAGAGTTGATGACATCAATGTTGCAAGTCTCGGAGCGGCCGAGCGCATAGATGCGACCATTGAATGGCTTATTGGTGCGTACTTGAACCGCAATACGTGTGTCCTTGCAGTGCACAGAAACTGTAAGCAGAAGATAATACAGATATCATGAATCAGCGTCTTCATAAGATTTACTGTCATTGGAGGGATACTTTAAATGTCTCTTCAAAGAGGTGGAGGCAAAAGTCCATTTAAGCTTCGAACTCACCATCGTAGCAGGTGCCTGTCTTGTCGCAGTTCACATCGTTTCTGGTCAAGTTGGTCAGATTGGGGTCCTCAATGGCATCGAGACTGACGGGCAGGGTGTCGATCTTGTCCAATGTGCCGGGCGGTGTGCCGGCAGATTTCTCGCACTGATTTTCAAAGTACTGCCCAATGGGTTCACCGTGATCGATGAGCGGACGTTCGTGGTTCAGATACGTTGAGGGTCCATCTGGCAGGGTCTTGTGATCCAAATGGTACAGACGGCAGTTGTACTGTGCACCCTGGGGCTGACCCAAATACAAGAAGGAGCGGCACAGGAACTCCGATTCGATTTCGCAGGCCAGGCGGCAAGCAGACTCCGATGTTACCTGCAGTTCCTTATCGGTGTAGTAGTGGAGACCCACGTATTGGGCAACTTTCTCTTCGGAAACACCCATGCGGGCATTGGCGAAGGAGCGTGTATTTTTACAGGCCTGAGCGGGCTTCAGGCACAAGTTCTCAAAGTAGTCCGTACCCTGAGCATCGACCAGCTGCACAAACTGTCCGGAGCTGCGACGATCCGAGTCGCTCAGCACGCACTTCATATTATTGTAGTCATACTCCACGGAGCGGCAAATGAAACGTTTCTCGTTAAGACAGGCGGACAAACAGGCCTCCTTGGTGCTAGTGTAGATCAGAGCATTGTCCAGACCACGGATAACCTTGTTGGGGACACGCTCGAACGACCAGGGTCGATGGCAGACATTCTCGCTGCGCAGCTGCAGCTTCACCATGTAATACATGTTGGCCGAGCGTTGGGGCGCCGCCGTCGGGTTCGCAGCCGACGAATCATTCTGTAGCTGGCAGTGCGTCTCCTGGGATGGGGACAGAGGGTTGACCACAAAGCTGAAGGCAGCCGCTTGACAGTCGGCCTCCTCGCGACACCAGCCCTGGCACTCGTAAAGCGAGAGATTCTTCACGCTGTAGTAGGTTGTGCCCGCAAAATCAAAGTCTGTGAGCTTCTCAAAGGCCATGCGTGCTGTCGCCTCGCCGGGCATACCGATCACCAGGAGCACGGCCACAGCCATAAGCAGCCAGTTGCTGCTGAGTCCTTGAGCCAACATGGTGTGTGTGCTTTTGCTGCTGCTTCTGCTGCCGATTGTAAAACGCATCTGCAAAGAGACGAATACGAAGAGGAAGTTAGTAAAGATCGAATTACAAGTATCTCTAATTGAGACTATCATAAACTTAAATAGGAACTGAGAAATGTATTACTATCCATTGACGATACCTATATCTCTTTTGAATATTTTGTACAATCTAACTACTTCAACATTTTCAATAGAAAGTGTCCAAGCTCTGCCCTCTTTGCGGGTTCAACATTTGATTTAGATTTCCGCTAATTCATACTTCTAGTTGGGATTAATTGTGGCAGCTACGCTGTACTAATCAAAATGGCATTCATGCTATCTGATTCTGATTGTGATTATGAAAAAGAAGAAAGAGTTGAGCGCATTCTTGCTATTTTGCAATTTCCGCGATACGAGAACGAGCATAATTCTGACTAGCAAGGGTTAATGGCATGCCTCAAACGGTCGCTTTGCATTTGTAGGGCCAAGCGTTGACAGGCCATTAGAGCCCGTAGCTTCCTCTAGGCCCATTACACGCTTAACTAAACGCCTGCAAGTTGGCAAGCCGGCAACTCAACGAAGCGGAGCTGCTGGGCACGTTGCGTCAATAAAAACTATGGCATGAAGTGCTCGTCGTTCGCTGCTCGCTGTCCAGCTTTTCAGCTATACACCCGTCCACCTGTCCACCGCTCCACTGGCGATTGGTAGGCCAAGTGGGCGCAAGTGTGTGCAGAAATAGTTCCCCCATTCCTCATTCAATGCAGTTGCTAGCCAAAGCTCAGATCCAGACCCAGGCCGTGGCTGAGGCTGAGGCTGAGGTTTAAAGAAGTTCGTTCACACTCACATGATGGTCAAGTGTGTGTGTGTGTGTGTGAATGCTGCATTTGTTTAGCTTTAATGAGCTGCATAGGGAACGGTTTAACTTGCCTGGCCCCCTCACACCCCCCACAAACACCATCCAACCCCACTATCATTCATTCATCATTCATTTCTTGTGGCCCTCGAAATTGCTGCTCATTTTTGCGTTCGAGCTTGAACTCCAATGCCTAACCATTCTGGCACTTTTTCTCTGGCTTTGTCTTTGCCTCGATGCCAACCATCTAATGGCCAAATGAGCAGCAAATTATAAAGCATTCCACTTGCTGGCTTTTATTGACGATCTGCGGTCAGAGCCAGATCTAACGGACGCAATGGTTTCAATTCCGAGCAGCAAGTTTTGTCATTCTTGTGGTTGCCATTCGAGCGTGCAGCAAATTGCTTTCCAGCTCCTCAATTTGTGTCTACGTGTATGTGCCTGGTTAGTCTGCATGCAAGCCTCTGGGCATTGCCAGCGTTGACCTCAAAGCGCCAAACAGCTGGCCATGGGGTAAGTGGGGTAAGCGGGTCGGGTTTATCGCGCTCCTCATGAGCTTTGAAAAGTGGTTTCTGCAGCAATACATTTGCACGCATCGCATTGACCCATGATGGCGGCATGAGAGGCGTTATCTCGAACTGGGCATGGCAATAGTATGGCCTTTGGGTGAAAAGCGAAAGTGTGTCTTGAGTGCGGCCTCACACCCATATGTGTGCGCAAAAAAACAAAAAACTTACAAGCTAATCAATCATGATGAGTTTTAAGCAGCACTTAGCTTTGACGATCGTCATGTGAAGAAAGAAAGAAGTCTTAGTCGCCAGAGCGGGTTGTTAACAAGTCATTAATGGACTTTTTAATCTGACACAGAAAATTAAAGTTTCATTATGAAGATGTAGAAACTAGGGGTGATATCGGACAGAAAGACGGATTTATATTTAAAGTAAATGATGACGCCGAAGTGGAGGGAATTTAAAATGTGAGCAACATTTCTATATTTCTATGCCAGACTAAGCATCTATATCATTTCTGATATAGATCGGTCAGCATTGTGACCAACTTAAGATGATCGGCCGATCAAAAATGTTAGCTTTAATAATAATAATTGTATTTTATATATACTTGTACTTGATTGTTTTCATGCCCTAATAGATATTCTCATTGGTCTATTATTATTATTTTCAGAATGAAAAAAAGAAAATGGAAGAAAAATCGAAAAAATCCATTAATGGAGCAATATATGGGGAAAACAAGAATTCTTGAAAGAAGTTAGAAAAATCGAAAACAAATTCCTGTGATCTGCCACGGAACTATTTTGAATATTGCCACAACATTTGACTGAAATCGGTTGAGCGGTTTCAGAGTCTATAGGGATGTTCCCATACTTCCATGGACGGACGAATGGATGGTCCCGTAGTGAAGAGTAGTGGTCAGTTCAGCTTTATGGTAAATGATTTTTCAATCATTGCGATAAGGCGTGCTCCCCGTGTACGTGTATAGGAAGCAATTCTTTCCTTTTGGGAACTAACGCCATTTGCATGTGTGCATATAATCGGTTAGTTGAAAAAGTTTCGGCATTCAGTTCGACACCTTTTCACTCCACCATTACCACCATTACCACCATTTATGTGCGCTGAAGCGCCTCGGCATTATTCACTCGCCTATCCAATTTGAATGCAATTTAGCCGGGGAGTTGATTGAAACCCTTTTCAATTTCCATTCATTAGAATGAATGGGCTTGCATTATTGCTGTTTTGGCTGAATGTGGTGGCTACTTATGCTACAAATGGGCAAAGATACGCGGAAGTAATCGTATGCGAGAGCCACGAAAGCCAGGAAAGGCACGAAGAACGAGAATCTCATCGTGAGTCTTGGACTCGCGTAGAGACTTCTTCGCAATCCCACATACATCACATGAAAATGTTGTGCCATAGAATGGCATTTAAGGCACAATTTATGGCTTTTTAAACGCCCCCTCCAACAAAACCTAAAACCAGGCCGCTGTGCCAGCGACCAGCACCAGCACCAGCACCACCACCAGCAACAACAGCTATCATGCAATTATATTTACATATTCAATTCAATTTGTTTGCAAAATTGTCCAAGTAGAAACAACTGGCAGAGGCACCGCCGCCATCGCCGCTACCACCGCTACCACCGCTACCACCGCTGTGGTGCGCATACTGTAATTATTTATATCCTCTGGTTTGCTGCAGTTTCAATTTGGTGGCCAAAGCCACGAAGTACGAAGCGCTTGCGAAGCGCTTGCGAAGCGAAACGCAACGCACCGAGAATGGAAAACGAGAAAAGGGTTAAGATGATTACAGAGCAGTCGGAACACTCGGAGCACTCGGAACGTGGCTATTACTAACAATATTAACTCACAGGTTGGCGGCCAGCGCGCATCGAATGCTCGCGAATGGTTAGCGCAAGATGCGGCATATCGAATTGTACAGCAAATAAAAAAATACAAAATCAAAAAACAAAAAGAAAAACAAATACTTGTACAAAAAATTACGAGAGCGCAGCAACAACTTGCAACGACAGCAACAGCAGCAGTAACAGCAGCAGCAACATGAAGACAAACAACAGCGACAACAAATGTATGAAATAGGTGGCAAAGACAGCGGAATGTGTAGCGTGATCTTAGCCACGAACAAACATGCATACAAGCCAACGATCGGACGAGCAAACGAAGGTAGGCAGGAAGGCGACACCAGCTAGAGTCGCCACCGCCACCGCCACCGCCACCAGCATCGTCTTACAAGCCAGCGACTAGTCGACTAGTCGACTAGTGGACTAGTGGAGCAGCAATCGAAATGGCAGCAACAGCATTCAACAGTTGCCCGTCAGACCCTTGCTGTTTTCGGCCTGCTGCCTTTTCGTGTTCATCTGCCAACAACCAAGACTGTCCAGCCCCTCCGTCCCATGTCCCATGTCCAATACTTTGGACAAAACATCTGCATGTGTCCAGAGCAGAAGGAACTCGTGTAGAAGCAGCAGCAGCAGCAGCAGCATTGCCGCCTCACTGGGTTGGCACAAATTAAATGCGTTTGAATTGAACAGCGAGCCAATTACAAGGCACGAAGCAATCCCGATCCCGAAACCGATCCCAATGCCCAGATAAATGCACTGCATTTGACGTCATTGTCGTTGGTCCCGCTCCATAGCCTGCTGGCCAGAGCTCTATTTACGAAGTTTATTTTTGGAAGGAGCAAGGGACGACCTCGCCACATCACGTCCTTGACCAAAACACATAACAAAAGCCACAGTCGTCGTAATCAGAGCGCTTTTCTAATTTGCGCCTCCGACGAAGCAATAAGGCATGAGGAATAAAAAAAGAACTGGCTCCCAGTCCCCGCCAATTTGCGCGTTTAAAGCAATTTCGCAGTGCGTCCAATAAACATTTTTGTAATTACAGACTGACTCTGACTATGAGACTACCCACTCGCCTGATCCTCTAAATAGACCAGACCGAACGAATGAGCGAAAGTGGCATTCATTATCCTGCTGCCCTTGAAGGTCAGGCACGATGTAGAGCGCTGTGTGGGCTCCACGATCCAAACGCGCTGTGGACGCCGCCGGGCCCCAACAGGTCACAGCTTCCTGAGTAAATAGTCTTTAAGGCTATAATTGTGGATGCAGCCAGGAGGCAGGAAGCAGCAGGAGAAACAAGCTTGTTGCCATCTTATTTCATTAAGAGATGCTTGATTACTTATGGGGCCAGACTTTGTGCTAAAAATAACACCCCTAAATGGGTGGAAGAGCGGCCAAACAAATATGAATAAATTAATCTCTGATTAAATGAAATGCTTTGATGATTAAAAGACTTCCGCTTTTCTTTTTGTTTTGTGAACTGCGAAAGAAAAGTTGTTTCCATTTTTAATTGGCCCCAGCAGCGATTGGGGGTATCTTGCCCTTTATATACCTTGTAAGTTCAATAACGAAAGTATAGCCAGCATTCATTTTTTTCGAAAGAAAAGTTACACTACTTTTTTATTCGAACATTTTATTGTTTTCATAAAATGACAAACAGATTTCCTCAAACGAGTTCGAGGCGCTATAAAATATAATTCTAATTCGGTTCAAT